AGCTTAATGATTTATTGTTTCAACATGAAGACGAGGATGTAATAAAGCGTCGGAAACTAAGCATCTGATATTCATTTCGGAGGATGCATGCTTGTTTCATTTACACAACATTCACTAGATTATATTTAATAAGGAATTCGACTGACGAAAACATTTGAGATAATACGGTAAATATCTGCTTAAATATGATCATTCTGTGAGTAGGAACATACGGTGTTACATCTACCAATAACGTGATCATTATGAATTCCTCAAATTGTAAATTTCGATAATCTTTTGTTTACAGAACGTACATTCATGGTAACTCATGTGATACTTCCGAATGGGAAGATATCTGTGTATTATGATAACGTAAGTAGCACAATTGAATGGCAATATAGTTTTATTTCAAGTAATTCAGAATATTCTACTAATCCGTGTATACCAGTACTGTCGAATGCAACAAGATACGATTGGAAGAAATCACCACTTTGTAATGTACACACTGACTATATGACACTATTGTTATTACCTTACTGACACAATTCATTTTCGGTTTTGTTTAAATTACTGAGTAATAAGAAGTGATGTGATATCTGAGGAAATACTTATGTCTTTGCACCAATTTAAGACAAACAGTGTATGTTAGAGTACTGTACGGGGACAGTCATATTCTGTAAAGCTTTTCTACGTCTTTCGAAGATCAGCTGTTTGAAAAGTTCATAGTTGAATATTCTGAGTGACTTATTGCTAATATCTTGATCGTTTCACTGCGTGCAGCTATTTCAATGTGAATAGTAGGTAACCCACCAATTTGCAATAGAACAGATGATGGATAACTAGAATCGGTTTTGCTTATTACAAGATAATCAGGGGATATTGTGAAAATAATTCTCAAGGGAAATGAACAGTAATGGATGGAAGTGAACACATCGACACAGTTCCACCAAATGATAACAAGTTGATGTGCAGTAACATTTCAGTTATTCACAATCACATTTCTACCAACGGACGTGGACATTCATCTCAATGTATCGCGTCATTCCATGATCGATATATCATTCATCTCATTTCACTGAAGTTGACAAGTGGAGGGAGTCAGAATATTTTTGTGGACTAGATGGAGCATAAGAGACTGATCAATTGCAGTCCCAAAAATCAATGGAAAGATTCAAACGAACAATACCAAGTGAATTCAGATGGAGCATAGTTCTAAGGGAATTTAGGAGATCAGTATGCTTGCTGTAAGTGTGACTAGTTGTCTTTGTATAAGATAATGCGATTGATGACACATCGCTTCAACGGTAATTTGGTTTTGATATAGGTGGTTGTGTGTTGACAGACCTTGACTCAGAATTCCATTACTTCTTTTCAGGTAACTGGGGAATTCGAAGAACATTACTTACGATCGCGATTAGGCGGTTCATTAGCGTGTGAAGGAGGTAACGATTGTTATTTTTATTCTGATTTATACTGACCTACATGAACAATCATCTGTTTGTCAAATGTTTCCTTCTATTTGTACCTGATTATCATTATGTCAACACAGAAATTGACTGTAATCTATCATAGTGATCTAATATATCTTTCTTACAGTTCACATCAATCAGTTGTTTCGTGTGTCAAATAAATTGGTCAAAGTATCATTGAAGTGTTGAGGAAAATTGTTTGAAATGAAATCAGAATACTTTTTGAAAACTCACTGGTCAAACGTGACTGTTTATTGAAAATTCAACTTGAGTTAGGAGTTTACACATCTTGAAGCAAAACTGTAGTATCACCTGTGATAAAGTCATAGTGGAAACTCATTGTGAAGAAGCCTTGTGTTTGTGATTCGGCCTTTCGATCTGTTGGACACTGAAATTATCTGAATTGACATCAAGTATGTGTGTCTTCATTTAAACGACTGTCGTGCTTGTTGTTGTGATGAAATCGTAATGGTATTGGTACGGTTTTCTGTGCGAAATTCCATCAACAATGAATTTCATGATCCACGTCTTTCTAACCTAATATACTGTGTTATATAACTGTAGTGTGCATATATCTTCTTCAAGAAAGTGCGAATGGATATTTGGAAATGTCTTTTGCATATGTTTAGCCATTGAGTGATCCAGACAGGGATATATGAACGAGGAAACTAGGCTGACAACATATCTACTCATTTATTGATTTACTCACCATTCTATCAGTCAAGCCTGCAGTCCTTATTGATATCACTAGTCTATGCAAAAGAAAGTTTATTTTGTCAAACAGATCTGATAGTTGTCTTCAACACTGCTCAATCGTCATACTACACTGACATGATTGTATGTTGTTGTAAGATGAAGCTGAGTTTCAAGACAAACATTTAGTGTAAATGAATAGGTTGGATTCCGTGTTTTGTGATTGAATATGATCAAATGCATCATCTATTTGGTCAGGAGGTATATGATGATCGGTTTAAATGTATTGCTGAGACTTTTCACAGTAATGCTCAATGTTAACCATTGGTGAAATAATGTGTGACCGGTGAAACAGATTTTTCAGGAGGATTCGCACTGACATCCTTATAAATTAAATCAGAAATTGAACGATGTCATTTTTCATTTACTGGTTGAACATTGTTTACTTTCGGAAGCAGAAGGTGATGTAAAGCATAGTTCGTGAGCATGTTGTTTGACCGTCACTGTATCTGTGATCAGAAATTAAACAGTTTCTTATTTTGTTCGCTCCTTAATAGAGCAAACAGCTTGTTGTACTGAAAATGGAAATCGATATTTTGTGTCTTCCTCCGTACATTTTGTTACAGGAGGTGAGAGAAAGTTCGAGATATTTGCTGATACAAAATGGGTCAAAAGTGGAACTTTAGTGGAGTTTGAAGTTTCCGGTGGTATGTTTAACCATATTTTATCAGAGTTGACTATTTTCACACTTGAATGCATCACTTGTGTTTCATATAGTTGATATCCAACCATCAGTTTCAACTGACGTTTCACTATACTTCGATTTGCTGTTGAGTATTTAAAAAACAATTAAGGAAACATTTTAAACTACCAAAGTAGTTCTCACTTCGATGAAATTTACTTGAACACAATCTCATGAAACGATAGATGAGATGATATAAGTTAGTTAGTTGATTATGCATTGACTTGGAAGTGTCCATTGTTTTTTCATTTGGTACATGCAGTATCAAATTTTTCCGAGGTATTGAAATCTCAGAAACACTTCATGAAATTGTAATTACCTTGAAGACAATTGCATCTACCTTATCCTACTGATCCGATAAATTGAAGGTATAGACAAGTCACATGTCCAGATTTCGATTTATCATAGTCAGTAGATATTTGTACAGTATCAAAAATACTGACGATTTTCATAGTACGACAATGTTTCCTTTTTCATGAATATGTACAGTGAGTAACCACATGCACTTTTCAGGTGATCATGTGTTAGACTACTGAAATAACATTTCAACAATTGAGAGAATCATTCCATAATTTAATGTTCAGATTGACTTCAATATATTGACAGGATAAAATATTGTTTACTATCGAAGAGATTTCATGATCCAACTGGTCAAAACTCGTCGTTCAAACATTCAACGTAGTTTTATTCAATCACAACATATTGCCGTGAAATGTGAATGATAATGGAAGTGTAGTGAATTTCTCATTGTGTAATGTGATGACAAATTCCCAGTGAATGAAACAGTCATACAAATCCGAAATCACTATTGTATCATTGAGTTATAGTTATATATTTTGTTATTCGCTTATCTTTTGTTTGATAACTTGAAATGCAATCACCGTGTTCCTTTCATTGAAGATTGTCCAAAACACAATACGACTAAAACATGTGAAGACTCCAAAACACCGAATAGAAAGTGCATGTGGCATGAAAATGCCAGTATGTGCATCATCAGCACTGACTTCAAGGTGAATGGTTGCCAGATTGAAGTAAGTAATTGGTAGACATAACAGGTTGTTTTTAATATTACCACAATCCACATTGTAAATCTATTTATTAGGGAGAGCATTTTATTGCTACGAATAAGTAGTGATTTGTATAGTTCCCTTAGTGCATAAATCAATGCATTGTATAGTTTGACGATATTTAATGAGACATGAGTACAATGCATTGTTTCCATGTGGACATTCAACAATGAATGAAAGCGTTGTTTAACACCACTAATGCCTGGAAACATGTTAATTTTCAAGCTCATAGAATGTGTAGTGATTCCCAATGTCGAATATGAAGCCGCCTATCTGTGTGACTTGTTACAAAATATCAATGAAATCAGTTTGACTGAGGAAGTGAAATGTGTCGGAAATTCTTTATTGTGTTTGGATAATGAGTAAAAGCTCGTAGACTCCCGATGTTGATGTTCAAAACAAGTATTTCTGATTCCTTGTTAAGCAATATGTATCCTGTATGGATTGTTTCAACGAAGTCGTCATTTATGTTGTTACTTAGATCGCGGCAGCCTTTGGCGTGTTCCAGTTGCATTTGGTATCATAATCCACAATTATAGGCAATTAATAATTCCGATAGAGTTGTGATGATTCAAGAGATATGTCTAGATGTAGTTGATAATGGAAAAATGGTGATAGTCTATAAATGTAGATAGTAGATATTTTATAGTTCATTTATTATCATGACAACAGACAATTGAGAATGAAAGACGTGTGTTGTACTATGAGGATAATGTGTACTTATCACATTGACTTTCAAATCGGTAGCAGATATGCTAAATCATTATTCATTGTGATCATATTGTGCAATAATGTAAGTTATGTATCTATTTGTTGGATTCACTTCTGTCATCAATACTGATGATGAATTATTTGATTAATATTTGGTATTTAGTAATATTGCCACTGTTTTGTTCTTCAGAATAGCTCGAATGTCAATGTTTCGACCACATCAATCCTTGTGGAAGAAGCTGGAACAACTCCAGGGATAAGTGAATCTGAGAATGGTCAAGGGAAATCATATAATTCCTTACACATCATCATACCTGTAGTTATCTGTTTCTTGGTTGT